AAACCATATCCATCAATTAGCATTTGAGTTATCAACGATTACATTCCTTTTTTACGAAAAATGGTAGCCATTTTGAAATTCAGCCGCCATTTTGAAAATCTTTCTCAAACAGAGCTACTGAGTTCCTAGGCATCAGCATATAAAATTTCCAAAAAATCCATTCACTGCTAAGTCTGCTATTTGAGTTATCAAAGAATACGTTCTTTTGCGAAAAATGGCCCCCATTTTGATATATAGCAGCCATTTTGAAAATTTCTTCTTCAGGGTAGCTAATCTTTGTCCCGAGGCATCAGCTTATAAAATTTGATCCAAATTCCTCAACTAGTATTTAAGTTATCAAAGATTACTTTTTTTAGGAAAAATGGCAACCATTTTGTTATTTAGCAGCCAATCTAAAAATCTCTTCTTCAGCTTAGCTCCTTTATCCCTAGGCATCAACATATAAAATTTAAACCAAATCCGTCAACTAGTATTTGATTTATCAAAGATCTTGAAAATTCTTTCTTGAACAAATCTACTCTGTCCCTAGGCATCATCATATAAAATTTGAACCAAATCCTCTTACTGGCATTTGAGTTATCAACGATTTATTTTTGAAAAATATCCACCATTTTGATATTTAGCAGCCATTTTGAATATCTCTTCTTCGGCGTAGCTCCTTTGTCCCTAGGCATCAGCATATAAAATTTGAACGAAATCCGTCTACTATATAGTATTTGAGTAATCAAAGATTACATTTCTTATAAAAATGGTGACCATTTTTTAATTAAGTGGCCATATTGAAAATTCCTTCTCGAGCAGAGGTTCTACCCCCATAAGGCATAAGCTCATAAAATTTAAATCAAATCTGTCAACCAGCATTTGAGTTATCGCCCAGACAAACCGATGGACAGACGAACGGCTTTCCTATATCCCCCTCGAACTTTGTTCGGTGGGATAACAATTCTCCTCAAAAACATGATACTAACTACTTGCTAGATCTGATTCGGCCTTTAATGTGCATATGTAGTCTGAACATGTATGCAATCAAAAACACAGACTCATACAGATCTGTGACACTGAAAAATAAGATAAGCATTCTCTCAAATAAACTCAAATAAATACAAGGTGTGGGGAAATGTGACATTCTTGTGAAACAAAACATCAGAAGTACTGAAGAAGTATGATGTAACAAAAAATAAAATACACTGTCATGTATGAACAGAGGTATCAGCAATATGGCTGAAGCAAAAAGTGATGTGAGTTTTGATCATTAGCGTGTTGTTTGTGAACACAAAATTACATCAACACATTTCAATATGGCTGAAGCAAGAAGTGATGAACATTTAGTGAGCTTCGACCAATGCTGAGTAATAACAGTGTTGTTTGTGAACACAAAATTACATCAACACATTTCAATATGGCTGAAGCAAGAAGTGATGAACATTTAGTGAAGGACACACTTGATGAAAATCAAGAACAACAACTGACAGATTTTGTAACAGACGTTCACAACCTTGTTAAACTAAAGCACAGTCGAGCTGAACTGGTCAGACATGAGGCACACATCAGGACACGTATTGTACAACCAATCTGTGATAAACTGAGCAGTTCACATCCTGCACTAGCAGTATGGGATGTACATTTAAATGGAAGTATGTCAAATCAGACAAAGATACAAACACCAAATGAAATAGATTATATACTTCCAATGGTTCATTCTGATTACGTTCAGATCATCAAAGATGAGACATTAAAGGAACCAGAATATAAATGCAGAGTTCATCCCTCACAACATCAACAATTATCTCAATATCAAGAGTTAACAGATTCCAGTTGTCTCATTAATTCATGGTATTTCACTAAAAAACTTCTGCCACAAGTTGTGAAGGAAAGTCTATCAAAACTAGACTCAGAGGGTATCCTGGTATACAGTGATGAGATAAAACTAAAGGATAACCCCATTGAATCATCCAAACTGAAATACAATGAAGTACAGCTAGATAAATTCACACATGGACCAAGTATCCGCCTACGTGTTGGGGGACTATTATGTGTAACTGATATTGACTTATGTTTCTGCCTGAAGATGCCTCATACAGAAGAGTTCCCTCATACAATGGGAAGCTTCTATATACTTGTGCCTAGATATGATATAATATCCTATTATGAAATACCAGATGAAAGAGTTAAAAGATTAGATGATCATCACAGACAGATAGTCATGGCATTAAAGTATATTTTGTCCAATCAGATTACTCTCTTTCATTCTCATGCTTTGTTTACTCTGGTCAGAAAGCATCAGGCTCAATGTAACAGTAGTGAAAAGACACTAGGGAAATGCTACCATGATATTAGTCATAGCATATGTAAGTTGGTGATCAGACCTGTTATAGAGAATAACAAGTATATTGAGCTTCATAACAGTCCACATGGAAATATCAAAGACAAAGAATGTCCAAAAAATTCTCTCCTTTGCCTAATTCCTCTTTTATCTGACACATTTGCACTTGCAACATATATTCTTACAAAACTAAAAGTATCAAACATATGCTCCAATAGACTTCCATGTACACAGTTGATTAATCTGGTGATCAGAGAGTGTTTCTCAGAACAAATGAAACAACTAGTGCTGCAAACAGAGGAGAATGGACAAGTTGGAGAGTTGGAGAATCAATATTTTTATATTAACATCCACAGACTGCTGTCAAGACTAAAGGAGCGGATAAGCTAACCAGGTGGATACACTGACATTGAGACATGCAAGACTACATAGATGTAGACCTGGACCAATTTTTTCACTTGGTGGAATTACAAAACAAAACTATAATTATAAGGTAAAATCTACATGCAGTATCTAGATTATTACTATACTTCAGAGAATATGTTAAGGTCAGGGTGCACTTTGATGAAATTTAATGACCATGTGCTATTTTCAAAAAAAGCTCATTCCACACATCATCTACATCTTTCATTCTTGGACAAATGATGCATTCATGAACCTAGACTATTAATTGATGGTTGATAATTCTTCAGAATGTTTGAATAACTAGAATATTCAGCGGTTTACTTTTCAAAATTGCAAAAAATTGCACTCTGACCTTAATATGTTACCCTACCACAAAAGAGACTATGTCAAAATCAGTTTTCATCATTTCTCATTGAACATACTGTATCATAAGGGGTATAGAACATCAAGAAGAGGTTAATATTTAATTGATATTATTTTAATGAGCTAAACTTGTAAAATGTAATCTATTATCCCATAGTTGAGGTCAAATCTGTAGAATAACACGTATATATTCATGATATTTTGCAAATGCGTGGAAAAATTCGATATCTGTGGAATACGGAGAATGTTCCACAGATATCACTTTTTCCACGGATTTGAAAACTCCCGCCAATGTGATATGCATTGTTACATGGTTACACGTTTTATGCTTACATGGTGATTTCACGACGTCACAAATATGGAAATGATTAATGTTTTTGCTATAGTTCAAATGACAAAATAAAACTTAATGTCGTTGTGAAATGCTTTGTAAGGTGAACTGTGGGATGATTTGATGTCAGCTATGGGATAAATAGAACATCCTATGATTTTTTTGTGATATCATTTTAATCCACTCGTTGATATCAATATCTGCACTCATTCGCTACACTCACTGGTCCAGATAAAAATTACATCTCTCAAAATCATAGGATATCCTATACATATCTGAATCCTATTAACCAGATTTTGTAAAATATAACCTTGGCTAATAGAAAGATGGCAGTGTGATCAGTATGTTTAGAAAAGATAAATAACTCATAAAAACAAATTGATCACATTGAAATGATACTGTCATCAATAGCAGCAGTGATCTCTCTATGTCACTTTTACCGGGAGCCCCCTACTTGAAACCAAAGGCCCCCCAAAAGCACCCTGCACTTCAACTTCTGATCTGAACAATGAGTGAAGTAAGCAGCCACCTGGAGATGCCAATTTTTTCAGACATGAAAAATTGCACCCAGTGTTGAAATTTTTTTGGGGGAGAACACTGAGGATTCAAAAGTAGGCTGGGTTAATTTAAATAGATGAGCAAAAGATAATGAAGGACAACAATGTGACAGAATTCTCACAATTTCAATATATTTTTCCAAGGAGGATTGGAAGCCAGGGTTCCAACTCGATATTCTTTAATCTCCAATCGATGCGGTAGTTTCTGATCCTGCCTGTATATTTTTACGCCTGCAAGGAGAATGGTCGATATTCTTGATTTTGAATTTTGTATGTATGACATGACTACATGATACCCATATATGGAAGAATATCTAGTTGCGTACCTGGCAGCCAATCCTCCTTCATATTTTTCTGCAAAATGTTGGTGAGGCAATTGCCTCGCTTGCCTCATTGCTACTGCCATGATCAATCATTTGCCAATATTGCCAGTATTGCCAATATTGCCAGTATTGCAAATATTGCCAGTATTGCCAATATTGCCAGTATTGCCAATATTGCAAATATTGCCAGTATTGCCAATATTGCCAGTATTGCCAATATTCATATGATATATGTTTCAGTAGATACTGATATCAGGGAAACAAAAAATAAACAAATGTAAATACTATATATAAGGTGTTGTACATTTAATAAACAAATTTTCATACATAGCAACTAGGCTCCGGCCCGTGTATGCTAAATGCTAACGCTAAATTCAACAATTGTTTACTTTGTTTAAGGAGAAGATAGCAAAAGGAAGGTTGGTTTACTAGAAAAGACAAGGCATTAACATGTGAAATATCGCCACGTGCCATTTGCTAGATGCCAACCACCAAATCCCAACCACCAGCCACTAAAAAGTTGGAGACTATAACAATACGTCACCACTTCTGCTAGACATAAAAAATCTTGAGATTACCATGTTTTCAAAAAATCACCCTTCGAAATGCCAAGTCACTAACAAGGTTAAAAAAGTTACATAAAAGTTACATAAAACAACCCATAAAGCTTAAACTGGATATAGTATTTTATATCTCACCTCCCGGGATGGCTGTGCCCCCTTAATGAGCTCATTGAGGGGGGTCTGCTCCCCATTACGGGGGGTTCCTGGGGTGGGGGTGGTTGGGGGACTACGACCTTGCTGTCTATGTCTGCATTCCAGGCAGTTACGTACAGTTGTTGTGGCAACTGAAATGTGGAAAATGGAATAAATATAATAAACTAATATTTTTACATGTATTGTCATGACAACTGGAATGTATAAAATACAAGCCAACTGAAATCATTTTGAGCTTCTTAAACTAAAATGGTGTAGTGTAATAACGCCTTCCAGAACTTGACTTTCATTTGAAAAATATAGTTGTTATTTTAAAGTGGCAGCAAAGACTCATGAGTGTAAAATGTTGGAATCTGTCTCCCCAAAAGCAACACAATATTTCCCTTACAATCTTAATTTATATTACTAAAAATGAATTGAGATATATGGTGAATAGAAACAATGCAAAAGTGGCAGAAATTCCACACTCATTAGAACTACTCTTTCATTTTTGCCAGAAAAACTCCAAGTATTGTTCTGATATAATGAGCAAACGAAAATATGAGCAAACAATTTTATAATTTTTCCAAACTTGCTTTTAAATTGTCTCTAGTCTGTGTTGCCCCTTTAAGTAAAACACAACAAAAATCAATCTCTCAGAAATATAAGATTTTGGAGGGCATGGTGGATGACCAAATTATTGATTGAGTTATAAAATAATACTTGTAATTCGATCACATCTTCCACCCTTAAGAATATTTTGTAAGTTGAAAAAACGTATTATTACCACCTTGCCTGGCCAGTTCTAGGGGTTTTAGTGCTAGTTTAGAAGGCATTCATTTTACTACATCGACCTGAGCAATATGTGACGTCATAGTGGTGGTCCATATTCCCAGTCAAGAATGCATTTAATGACCAGCAATTTTCCCCGGGAAATTAGATATCGTTCAGTGCGTAAGATTTTCTTTCTATTTCAGTCCTGGTCATTAACGGTGGTAACAATACTAATAACATCATTTCTGCGGGCTTTCGGCCCTCGGTCCAATATTTCAGTATATTGCCCTTCGAAATGAGGTTATTGTACTATTCGAATCTCAAGTGGATCAGTACTGGATATTATCATACAGACAACATAATAATTTTATTAAATTGCCCTTTAAAATTGAAAGAAAAAAATATCAAATAATTAGAAAATTACCCAGTCTTAGACACTGCCTTAGGATTCCTCCACTGGACATATTCTTTTCATGTTCCAATTCACTGAAGTTGGTGGAGCTGGCGAAGATCAAAATATCTGCCATGTACATGATACGTTGCATGAATGAAACTGCTTGTTCAACTGATAGACCTTGACTTGGTTCTAAGATCTCAACCTCTCCCTAAAATATAAAGAAATTAGGCATTTACACATGATGAAATGTCACCACCTGATTTGGCACGAGAAAATTACTAAAATGTTGGAGGTTTTAAAGATTTGTCATCATATATTGGTGGAACCAGATATAGTAATATCAATCTCTATTGAGAGTCTAATCACAAGGGTATAGGCCAATATGATATGCAAATATTATTTGACAAATAAATATGATAAGCAAATTAACATAATAGTTGATGACCATATCACAACAGCCAAATTAACTCACAAACTTTATGGACTCTGAACACTCAATAACTTCTACAAGATCAAATTTGAAATGTCTCAGGAATTCAACATCTGAGAAAAATAATTTTCCAACTCCAACAAAATCAAATAACGGCTATCTTAGAATATTTAAATTGATTCTTACATTTGGTGAAGTAGCCGCTGCCAATAGAGGGAGCAACCCTCCACATGCTGTGATGAGACTGTCCGTCAACTGAGATATCATGTGCGTCACATTTACGACAAAAATATGGTTCTCTGAGGCATTGACAAAGTCAATGACAGTCTTTGTACTATGGCTGAAAAAAAAACATTAATTGTATTTCATATAATGCATTAGACTAGATGCGAGTAGAATTAATCTTGATTTGCTTCATTAAATAAATTGAACCACTTAAACAGATGTAATTTAAGTTAACCCGAATGAGCCACCTGGTGGTGGAACTGGTAACTACCTACACGCATCTGTGTTATTCTTATTGTGCTTTTACAAGACAGTTATCAAATTGGCTTATACAGTTTATGAATTAAAACATTTTGTGAATGAAATATTTTAGTCAGATTAGCTAAATCTTAATTTATAGATATATCAAAATCACGCAGATTGCTCAACAATAAGAAACAGAATTTAAGTTTGTGTTGTAGTTATTGGCCAGTAAGGAACAGCAATGAGCTAGATGACTTACGTTTTCCAGACTTGAATGTCAGTTTCTAGTGCAAACAGCAAATCAGAGAGCAGTTTCTGATGTAGGAAAGACCAGCTGAATTCTGGGATACGGAATGGCGGGGCACGAGGTCCAGGACTATAAATCCGTTGACCCACATCGGGTGACCTTTGTTCATTGATATGCAAATTGGTGGGTTTAGTATGTGGCGATACATTAGAACTTGAAGCAGTGTTTTCATTGGTTAATTGATTTTCTTGAGAAGGCCCCTTAGACTGATTACTAGCTATAGCTGCAGGCTCCTTGGAATCACTAGAAGCTGCAGCAACTGGTTCACTATCAACTGCGCTGGAATCTTGCGACTCAGACACACTAGATACACTTTCAGTATTTTCTTCAATAGGACCAGTTGCATCATTGGAGTCAGTTTCCTCCTTTGTTTTATCACATTCATCTTTATTATCCTCTGCCTTTTCAACAGGTTCAGATTCACTGAGTTCAGCTGTTCCATTAACTATACTTCCTCCCTCTGGATCAATATGATCAATTTTGTGCTTACTTGTCTCTTCCATATTGTCTTTTTCCGCTTTTATGGCAACATTTTCAGTGACTTCATTTAAAAATTCAACAGTTCCTGGAGCTAACCCAAGCTTTTCATAAGCTTCACTTTTGTCTTCCTGATTGTGGCTGTCATCTGTTCCATTTTCAACAACAGTCCCTTCTTGAGATGATTCCTGAGCATTAGTCTCTTCCTGCTTCACAGTAGCAGACGGATTTTCTTCATGGCCATTTTGGATTTCTTCCTTATTAAGAGGCTCTTCCTCCTTGACAGGTGTTTCCTGAAATAGTTGTTATTTTAGTCATACTCTAAATATCCCTTTTTACTGTTTGCAGACTGATTTACCAATAGGAATTTGATTTTAGTGCCAGGTCATAGGAGAGGAAATAGTGGATCCGAAATCAACTGCCCTGATCGACACCCTCTGACCTATACAAAATCTTGAAGTTTCCAGAATGAGAATTGGTAGAATGAATAAATTGTAAGTTAATAAGTCTGCTGTTAAGTATACTCACAAACTTAGTCTTGGCACTTGCACCAACATATAGAAGTCATTCATATAAGATTCAAGAACATTGCTCACCTCAGTTCCAGATGAAGTTTGTTCAACTTGCTCACTTGATGGGGCAACTTCACCATTCTGCTCACTAGGTGTCTCTGCCTGAATGCTTGAATCAGACGACTCAGTGATCTCAGTGATTGTAGCAGTGCTTTTAGCAACTGGAGGCTGTGGCTGTTCCTCAAACACTCCTGTTAGCACAAAAAATTAAAATTGTAATGCAGTTTAAAAAAATATATAAATCCTCCTATGCACAAATACTTGATTTAATTGTATGTTGTATCAATTCTGGTATGAGATATTTCAGAAATTTTTCAGTCGTGAAGGTGTTTTTCTATTGCCACGGCAGGAAAGCCTATTATACACCTGATGTTGCTCTGACCATGGTTGCATCCTAAGTATTATATCATCCCTCTGGATAAACTCAATATACAATACCCATAAACTCTAGATATATCCTATCCTCTATATAGCACACTGTTAATCCAGTATTTTGAATATGGTTACTCAGTTACCTGATATTGTGCTAATGGGTCTAGTGGCCCTTTCTTCTGGGTCTAGATGGTCCACTCTCTGTTGTTCATACTGGTGGTACATATTGGACACGCGAATCTTAAAGTCTTCATATGCCACCTACAATAAAAACATTGATTAAATAAAAACTCAATAATAAATCCTTTTATGTAAACTAAACTATAGATGCATCTTATTTACCCTATCTCCAAAAATGAAGGTAATGTTTGGTTATTGTTTAAAAGACAACAGTAGTTTAGTCATTGCAGGCAGCATGCATGATCTTCATGACAAATAGAGCAATCCAGTAAATAATGCTAACAATGAAGTGATTCTCATTTTTAAAGCAGAAGTGTATGATTATTGGTAATTTTCAAGATCTTCTTCCAATTTTCTTAAGATGATAGCAAACTACAAAAATCATGACACCATTAATCTTGCTTGTATCCTAGTTATCTTGGTTTATCAAAATGGGTCAGGGTTTATTGGAAAAGTCTATATTCTGGTATTCCAGGCGCACTAAAATGTGTAAACTGAACACCATTAAAAACTTATTGTTGAAAGATAGACAGACATCATTTGTTGCTGCTGCATCAGTGTCTTCATTCGTTTCTTCTCTCTTGGTCTTGATTGTCTAGTCTTTGATTATAATGTTAGAAATTATCCTTTCTTCAGGGTCCACAGACTTGAGACTGAACGTAGGTGGGTTATTGCAAGAGCTCACCATGTGAGCCAAAAAGGGCTGAGGATTAATTGGAAATGCCTTTCATTTTGCATTCTTGTACACCATTGGGAACCTACCTTGGAATGTAATATAGCTAACGTGTCAATCCACACTCTCCAACCACCATACTCCAGTTTCATGGCATGGTGTAGCAACATACGGAACAGCGACATAACCATTTCAGTGATGCGAAACTCGTCCTGGTTACGAGGGTAGATGTACGCTAAAGAGAACAGCCAGTCTTGCCATACAGACATTTGTAGTACAGTCCTAGAAAATATAATTTTCAGAATCAAAAAAAAACCAACTAGAAAACAGCAATTCCAGGGAGTAGCTGTTTCCCTCGGTATCAGCATATAAAACATGGTATCTGAGTTATTGCCTAGACAGATGGATGGACAAACAAACAGACGAATGAAGAGATGGACAGCTTCTTTCCCCAAAACAAGGTAAAAGTTAGAGCTAGGACCAACAATGTACATTACCACTGCTATGACCCCAATAGAATGAAAATGAGCATTGATTTGTTCAAGTGAATGCAGTTTTAATTTGCCTATAAATTGTTCACAGACAGATAAAAGAATGTGGGATTCAATAGGATTACAATATGAACTAAAAATCATTTAGAGGACCTCTCAAGTTTTCTTTTGTCGCAACTTTCTTATTTTTGTCACATTCTTTCAGACATCCCTTACAATTTCAAGTACTGACTAAATACCTGTTAACTGTATCCCTAACTAATTTTTGATTCTCTGTTTACAAACTAAACCCATGCTCCCAATTGCTCCTTTACCAATGTCAGTCAAAAATCATTTATATGACCTCTTTTAGTGCCTCATCTCATATTTGAATGAAATGCTCATTTGAAGGATGACCTTATACAATTCTGACTTCGAATAAATGCTTGTTAATTTTTTACCACTAACTAACTTCAATTTCTGTTTTCAACTTTATCCTAATCTTCCAATTGTTTCCTACCTTCTATTATCTCTATTGTGGTTACAGAGGATGGTGAGATCTGACAAAAACACCTTTTTCACATTTTGGAGTTCCTCTGATTGCTTTGACTGTTTGATCAACTGTGCAATCACTTTCAGCACCACTACAAAAAAAACATGGAGTAAAGATAATATCCAATGATTTTGAGATATCAATATGATATGTAAACTGATAATACTTATAATAATCTTTAAAGTGTTATTTGTAATATGTTCTCTTATCCTCTCCTTATAGATCCTTAATGTCAGAAAAATCTAATTTTTGATTTTTAAAAACATTCTTCATTTGTTAACGCAAACATAATTTGATTTGACACTCTCATAATGCATAGAAACTCAACACTTACATGGGTTCTCCATTTTCAAATTGGAGTCTGGTTCACTGTGTTGTGAGTACTGAATTTCACGGTTCATTTTCTCTGTCAACAGCTACAAATATGAAAAGATTATCATTAGTTTAGATTAAAACACATTTATTTCCTCTGAATTACCCTCGACCAGCTGAAAATAGGAAAAAGCAAAATAACTATTCATAATTCAGTTTTGAATTTTCAGGCCTGAAATCCTTATGCTAAATGACATTCAATAAAAATGGCTCACATTACCTAATTGTTATTATAAAATGTATACCATTACTTTTAGATCAGCCCTTGTATGGTAATAAATTTCTTAAATACATACCTCAAATAATCCATTATAGGTCTGCATAGGGAACGTATCTGCGTTAAGCATGAGTCGCTCGGCAATTAGTGAAAACAGGTTGTGATGTTGCATGGCGTCACCCTTACGCCTGAAAATAATTTTTTTCAATTCACATGTGTTTATATTTACAGATAAGAAGGTTTTTGAGGAATAAAATTTTGATCGAATAAGGTCAGATATATGTTTCTTATGTTATAAAAGTTTGATGAAGAAAAAAGCAAGAGAACAAAATTAGCAATACTTATTATGTACATACAGTAAAACCGGTCTAATCTGAACACCACTAGGACTGGCAAAAAGTGTTCAGATTAGAAGGTGTTCACAATTCAAGGTTAATGGGAGATTTAACAACTGAGAAAAAGTTTTCACATTGGGAGGTGTTCAGATTATAGAGAGGTTTTACAGTACTGATTTAAGAGACTGACCCTTCAAGAAAAAAAATACCAAATATGGTATTTCCAATAACTCATTGACTTACATGTGTGTGCTGCGCATGAGAAAGAATCCCAGCAACTTGAGAGATTGCAGACGGATACCCTCATTGGCAGACGCCAGGAGTTTGAACACAGTCCTGAAACACAGTCCAAATAATGTCCATTTATTTAATATGAAAATCAAAAAAATACTTCATAATAGGCTAGTCCCTGAAACAATATTGAATGAGAAAAACTTGAAATCAATACAAAGCATTAAAGGACAACTGAAATAGGTTTTCTCAACTTGCAGCTACAAAAATGCGGTTTTCTTCATTGTAAGCCCAATGTAGGGTTCTTGCGATAACCATTATAAAAGAAATGTTAGATAACTGTTAATAGTCATAAATAACATAATTAAATAAACTGATCTATCAGATTGGCCCCCACGTAATAAGTAACGTCATACATAATATATAATTCTGGTTTATTGGTTCCTTGGTAATCATACGACGTCACAGCAACCATAGGATTGTTGTGTAAACAAATAACAAACCATCTTGGCATTATGGGGTCATGCTTAAATGGACCAAAACTGGCCACGTGGGGACCAGTTAGAGATCACGTGGGGGCCAATAACGTCACAACTAATTCGAATATTGCTTATTAAGCAGCTATGACCATCGTTAGAGTGAAATAATTTTTACTATTCTGATGAGAAAACATGTTCAAATACATTTATCAAAAATTATATTGATTCCTTTAGGTCAAAAATACCATTTCATATCTGCTTTAACATGAAAAATGTCATTTGTTAAAGATGTCGAACACAAACCACTATCCACAAAAAACTCTATGACAATATGTCACCACTTATTGTGGCGACATAATAACCAGAGATAGAGCTTAATGGTGATTCAATAATCATTTGTAAAATGCATAGCATCTCGCTTGTACGCTGACACCGACTATAGTAAATGAGTTACATTTAAGCAATTAAAACCACAGAAGTTGTTAGACAGACCATGGCTTAAAACATGACAAAAACACTCTTTTCCACTCTATTTTATTTGCCATTTAAAAACAATATGATAAATGATGTCAACCTTTCAGTGTGTACTTGTGACTCCGTTTCTGAACGATATATTTAGCCATAAAACATATTTAGAAATGAGTATGAGTGCCTTTAACGTTATTTTTAGAGTGCCTTGAGGTTTTCTAAAGGACCCTTGAACAGTAAAATGTCAATGTTCTTTGATACAAGTATGATTGCTTTTCTATACTTCTGAGTGTTTCTATATCATAACACACCCTGAGGACCCAGAGATAAGCATTACTTACTACCCTCTGGGGAAAAGGAATACAGTTTTGATTCGAAAAAGATCTTAATAATTCAAATTAAGTATCTGCCTAGGCCTTTTTTAAGAGTTTGAATATAAACGGTTGCCAGTTTCTTATGAAGGTGTAAATTATGCTCAATTGTAAAGGTCTATTTTTGATTGGGTGAATCAGGGTGAGGCTAGATCTGAGAATTATCTTTAATTTTAAGAGTATAAATCTAGCTCTCTTTAATACTCACTCTTAAAAAGGGTTATCAAATATGAGCCCCATGAAATTGATATTTCTCTCATTTGCACAATTACAAAACCTATCCCTAAATTTTCTCTCTGTCAACTCCTAATCCATGTTTTTTTCTTTAAAATTTGAATAAAATGCTTTATTTCTTGACTTTTCAATACAGTTTAGAGTGTGAACAATATGCCTGTTTACTTTACTCCTTGCTATTCCACTCCTTTCCACTCTATTTCCCACTTTTAAAACATGACCCCTTGGCATTTTTTTCCACAAAAAGATCGCAATAAATCATAAACTTTATATTTCCTCATTCATTTAAAGACATCTACCTATTACTCGGTATTGGCAAATACTTCATCACAATCTGCTTATGTAAATATGACAGTCTGTTAATTTTCCAAATGGCAAACAAGAACCTGGAATTTGATATCTAAACGAGACTTTATCAAACCTAATCCTTAGTGAACTTGTCATCTCAGCATTCGAGAATTTCATTTCATTCCTGGTACCAGCATTTTCTTTTTCAAAGTAAAAGGAAAGAGGTCTGGATTAATAATGTATCTAAATTATTCAATGATGACAGTAATGTTGCTTCTGGATTATTCAATGATGACTAAATGTTGCTTCTGGATTATTCAATGATGATAGAAAATCTTCGAGAATAATGACTAAATGTTGCTTCTGGATTATTCAATGATGACAGTAATAATTCAATGACAGTAATTATTCAATGATGACTTAATCTTTCTTCTGGATCATTCAATGATGAGAAAAATTATTCAATAATGACTTAATGTTGCCTCTGGATTATTATCAACAATCGATGTCAAATAATAATTCAATGAGGACAATTCTTATTTAATGATGATATCTAATAATGACCTTAGATGAAGATTCGGGAAGCAAGGTCAATAAATAGGAACAGGATAAAACTGAAACCAAAATTGAAATGATGGAGTCAGGCACAGATTAGTCAGCAAAATTTGGTTCACAGACTATGATAAACATTAATGTGACACAAGCTAACATGACGACTGATAATGTGACACCAGGTAATGTGACACCTGATAATGTCACACAAGTTAATGTGACATTGGATGATGACGAAGAACACAATGACGCTGTTACTCCAGTGATTTTGTTTGTCCTTTATTTTCTCATGAGTGCCTTGATAATTTTTGGTAACGTCTTAACATTGGTGGTCCTCTGTAAGTTTAAGAGTCTCTACCGCATAACTAATGCCTTCATCGCTAGCCTCAGTATCGCTGACATGATCCTCGGAATCTCGCTACCCCAGTGTGCATTTGTAAACCATACAAGATTGATCCGTGGATTGAATGAGAATAAATATGCCTGTCTCTCATGTAGATATTTTAATACACTTTCTGCAAGTGTATCATTGTTTTCAATCACAGCAATTGCAGTTGAACGATACATGGCGATCATGAAGCCGTATTTTTATACACAGTACGCAACCAGGTGCCGAATCAATACTTTTGCTGTGGCTATCTGGTTTTATGGACTGGCACTTCAAACAATAGCCTTTTTCGGGCTTCAACAGTGGAATCCAAATACATACTGCTCCGTGATTACGGTTCTCCCTAACTGGGCATTCAATTACATCATGCTCCCTCATATAATCATCTGTATTATTCTCTCAATTGGACTATACACCTGTATATTTTGCACCGCCTCTAGACACAGACGTCGCATCTCTGTTCAGCACTCAGTTGCTGGATTGACACCTGTCAATCAAGATACGAAACTTGCGCAGATGATGTGTTTAATCTTGGGACTGTTTCTCCTATGTTGGACACCGTATTGGGTTTTATCCGTTGCTATAGCAACTATGAAGCATAATTCACCATATGAACTACAGGTTGCATATCAATTTTCAGTGTGTTTCCTCTATGCAAATAGTTTCATGAACCCTCTGGTTTATGGATGGAAAAACACAGAATTCAAGAGGGCGTACAAACAAACACTGTGTTGTTGCCGTGGAGACAAGAGCATCACAATTGACAGCCATGACATGTATGATATAGGACCACCTTGCAGGCATAATGTTAACTAACCATGGAAACAGGGATATAAGCAGGGATGTCTGAGAAAGTGTCTCATCTCTTTATATTATCTTTATCTTATATATATACAACCCATTTTTTTTTAATTATGAGCATCAGTATGCAAAAGAACTTAATTACAGGGACATGCTGAACTATAGATATGATAATCATAAACAAATTATAAACACATAAAGGAATGATATGAGCCCAAATATTCTATTAAATTGAAACAATTTTTGTCAAGAGTTGTTGTCTTTTAAATCCTTACCTCACACCTCCCTTTCTGTCAAAAGATGGCACCATTGATGCAGGATGTTCCGCCATTAAACTGACAGTTAACTGAAGGACGTCTTCAATATTGTCATCCTGTTAAATATATGATATGGAAGTTTGTACATTTTGTAACATCTAAAAACCATAAAAGTTAATTGGAGTTGGAGTTTATAGACTGATAGGTGTAATTATCATTGGGTATCTTAGGATGTATGATTGCCTATAGTTAATTTCAATACAATACAATGAACAATGAGAGCAAGACTGTACATGTTTTTTTCATCGCAAAAAGGTGTACAGACATACATACCTCATGGAGTGTAGTTAAAAAGTTGAGAATACTCTGCAACTCATCGTCAAGTATTCCCGCACCCTTCAAGATTAAGTTCCTCAAGTACATCAGCATATGGCCGCGTAGCTCAAGTATTGATTTCTTGTCGGGCCTTGGTCCATCTAGAATATGTCAAAATAAGAAATGTAAGATCCAAATATATTCAAGAGATGGTCCAGAGAGAGACGGGGGAAAAAGCCATTCTATTGGCTTACCATTGAGCTTAAGTATCAACTTCTTGTCAGTATCAAAAGAGATGGCTGGATAGATGGACTGTAAGGGTGGGCCATTATATAGGTTCGCCATGTAAGTTAAACAAGATACAGAGTGACAATAGCCACAATTTAATTTTCCCGACATGCCCATAACCTAAATCAGAGCTTGGCACTAGTTTGCTCTTGTATCTGTAAAAAATTCAAGTTGAACAGCAGTTAAGCAGACCCCTGTTGAATGAATTTTTTAACATATGTTATTTTGATTATATGTTTTTTATTATATTCCTACTTGGCTATTAATGCTCTTTGAGCTGAGCCAAATGACACTGTAATGATTGTTGAACTAAATAAACTATAAATAAAAAATAAGTAAAATAAAAAAGCAGTTTTCATGGAATTTCGATGACTAGATTCAGATATCCAGGCACCTTCTATACATGACAATACAGAACTTAAATAAAAAAGTGTGATAAAAAAGAGATGAAAAATTGAAAATCTAAAACTTCAAGCAATCATAATGATACAAATTGCCAAATTGCCAGCATCCCAAACAATACTCTGACATACTGTATAACGAACAAATAGGGAGTCTAAGCTTGCATATAAAATCTAAATGCCAACCTATACATATGACAAATCGCCCATACAAATGCATCGCTTAAATATTTTCTGTTCACGTCTACGTTGTGAAAAACATTGCAAGCTTAAACTCCCTAAAGTCTAACACATCCCCTTGACACACATTTTAGAAATCATAATCCCACATACCCGTGCCTTTAGGTAGTATTCCACTCCGGTCTTTAGGGTTAACAACCCAGTAGTAATACTTCAATGTATGTATTGTCTGCAGGACTGACGACACGCGTCGTATGTTGTTGAAAATATGTGCATCATTCACAAACTCTGTCGCAAGGAATGCATACAACTTTGTCTGCACCTGAAGAAAAGATAAATATGTTTAATTTAATTGGGTTCAATATATTTAACATTAAAACTATATTTCATCTTTAATACCACAATAGGAGTCAAACAGTGACACACAAGGGTTATCCGAAAGATCTTGAATTTTTGTTTTATAAAATTGCCTTTTTGAAAAACGAACCTTATTCATTGAATAATAAAAAGGCTTCATTATTTGTTTTTTCTCATTGGTATTTACTGGCCTCAACTGGATGGAACAATGGTTTTAACAGTTGGAAGGTTGCTAAGATACACAAGCTTCCCTTAGATGAACCTTATATTTAGAACCACTCATTACACAACCCTTATATATTATATGGGTTATATATGATTTGTAAGACACATATGAGCCTGGCCATAGGAAAACCGGTCTTATCCCAAAAATTAGAATAGTGCTACAGAGCAAAAAATGTGCCCAAGATTTAGAGGAAAATGTGCTAAATTCAAATTCGACTTTTTGGTCTATATATGCAAGGAAAATTTTTTAAGACATTAGCCATGGCTCATTTGAAAGGTCTCTTTGTGCTTTCTAAGATAAACAAAAAAATCAGATTATTGAAAAAATCTGTGATAAGACCCCTTTTCCTGTGGCCTGGCTCATATATTACTCTTAAGAGAAACCTTATATCTAGAACCTCCCAGTACATAACCATTATTAATCATACAAACCTCTACAGGAGAATGAATCCAAAGTGCCGGGTTGAATAGCACATGGTCAAACATCTGACGTAATAATGGCGTCCCCGCTGGGAGATTGGTGAGATACACATATTTCCTTCAGAATAAACCTTATATCTAGAACCTCCCAGTACATAACCATTATTAATTATACAAACCTCTACGGGAGAATGAATCCAAAGTGCTGGATTGAAAAGCACATGGTCAAACATCTGACGTAATAATGGCGTCCCCGCTGGGAGATTGGTGAGATACTTTGTCAGGCGCAGAAACACATCAAGGACAGATAGACTGATATGCTCCTGAGAGGCCTAAAAACAACAGAAAGATTCATTAAGGTTTGGTTTGGGAGATAACATTTTAGATATTGCCTCTCTAGTTCAAGATTATACTTTGTACTGTTCAAAAGTCATTAACTTAAATGATGGAATAACATCTAACTAATGTACAATGCTAAACTAACTTCTTTAATGCATTGAAGTTTGAAGAACTTTTTGGAGAATAATTAATCCCTGGATTATCAACACACTATCAGAAAACTAAAAGTATTTTTTTAATGCGTGTGATTTCTTTCACACATCAATAGACATAAATCTTTCATGAATGGAAACTGGAAATCTTTGAATTATCTACCCACATATAAATATTTCTCAAGCAGGGAAACTGAAAAATGGAAACAAAATTTTCTGGTCTCAATTTTCCCACTAACAATCTAACATTAAAGTGTACCTTTTCTAACATATCGCTTATGACTAGGAATCCTTTGGCCTGCAAGAATTGCTGTTGAATAGTGACGGAACTTTCTAACAGATCACAAATCAATGTCATCAGCGTGGCACTGAAACAAACAAACATTTATTGAAACAAATAGGGTTCATTTTTCAACAGTCTTGATAAGTATATGTTCCAAAAATTAATCAATATCAATGAATAAGTTGATTTGAAAAACACAATTTTAAACAGCTAATAAAATTTCCTCAAAATGGCAAACAAAGGGTCAGAGTGAGCTAGAGTCCAAGTTTGGTAAGGATTTGAGTTGATTTACTCAATACAAAAGTGTTTTTACCATATGGTGTAGTCGACTTTGCCTTGTGACCCATCCTGAAGCTCCTGGTAGTGGTCTAATTGACTGAAGAGTGGGAACAGGGTCTGAAATGTACACAGATATTTAAACATTAAATACAATAAAACACCTGAAAAACGACATCCTTCAAGTACAGGGCTTCAAGATCAATACTATCTTCTTTGTTGAGTAGCTCTTTGTTCAGTGAATGGAAAAACTATTAAATGGGAAAATTTGTGAAAAGATTTATGGCACCATTTCAGCACCCTTCTTTGGACAACTGAGCAAAATCATTTTGGCATAGATTTGGACACAAATTTCATTATCCTAAAAAACACAGAATGTTGATATCTAAAGGACTAATTTGTCATCAGAACAGCACCAATTATTTTGTATATATATATTACATACAAAGCTTCAGAAGAAATAAAGGGGCAACAAAAACTAGAGATCAACAAGTTGAATAAAAATTTCAAAAAAAATAATAACACACACAAAAAATGCTAAATGACCTACCTGTACGCCACCTATTGAGTGAAGTGTGCTATGAATGGAATGTGTTACGATGGCCTTGACCTCTTGTTGCATTAGGGCGTGTGGGGTATGAACAAAGAATGATTGGTTGCCTTTGGGGGATGACTCCAGAGATAACTGGCCATCACAGGCTATAGGGTTATACATGAACATTATGGCCGAAGTCAGTTTCCCATCATAAACCAACTGGAAAATAAAGATGGCAGTCCGATCACCTATATAGGCTTAATCAAGTTATTCACAGTTCTAGGGTTATACATAAACATTAGGGAGTTTAAGCTTGTAATGTTTATTTCAGCGATGCATTTGTATGGGTGATTGTTCGTACGTATAGGTTGGCATTTCGATTTTATATTATAGGGATGTCAGTATCCCAGAAAAACAAACTTTATCAACATTTAAAATTCCAATTCAGTAAAGGGTGGAAAAATAAAATGTAAAAATGAATTTATTTATTTATTTTTATTTAAGCATTTTTACCAAGACTGTGTCTGTTGGCATTTAGACACTAACAATCTTTCATTTGGCATGACATGTAATATGTTGTGACGGGAGTACAGAATTTTTACTTTTCATATGTGACATTCCTGAGAATATAAGGGAATACTATTGATATGAATCTTTAAAAAATATTTTTTTCCAAAAATATGACCACTCACACTCCTACTAGTTGGCGACAGTTTTGCTGTGCACTCATTATCAAACTTAAATTGCCCCTTGTAATCTGCCCCTAGTTGGTACATAGCGGCTATATGTTGCGATGAGAGAGCCTCCGTGAATCCATAGGTTGTTGACATCTGCCCACAAAAACTATTGTCCATATCCATTTCGGGGGTGGAGCCAAAGAAGCATTTATCAAATGGCTGTAAAGAAAAAGGAACAATGTTTATATTATACAGGGTGACCCAAAAAAACAGAAGCTAGGATTCAATATAATGTTTAGGGGTCCCACTTTTTTGGTCACACTGTAGAAATTGACATCACAGTGTTACATTATGACATCACAAAAATGTAAAAAAAAAACTATAAAATTCTAATATGCATGAAATATAAATTGAAAACAAAAAGTAATTTATTTCATGTTTTAAAAATGTCCCATTTACAACTTGTATAATATATACTAAACATTACATGAGGCCTTTAAATGAATTTACCGATTTTTCATATTTTCCGACAACTTACATCATTTGTGTTTACAAGCCACGTCATGTCAGTTGACGAAACCATCTCTCCGTTAACATAGGCACGTATTTCACTCTTGCTCCATCTATTGTACACATGGACTATGGTCACCATATACCACTGGAAATACACATCAAACAATATGTACAAACAATCAACAATATACATAAACAATCAACAACATACATAAACAATCAACAATAGATTGAAACAACCGATAACATACATAAACAAGGTTAACATGCAAAATGTCACCACCTGCCATTTGTTATAGATATTAACCAACAAACACCACCAACAGCATACCGAACTCCATCCACAAAAAAGTTGGAGACTATAACAGATGTCATCACCTCTGGTGGTGACATAACGATCAAACATGTATATGAACACTCAAATATATAAACAATCCATAGCGTATACAAGAAATCAATACTAAACAATCAAAATACAGGTGTTGTAAATATTAACTATAAGTGCAAATATTTCAATCGAATTTTACAAAAACACCATAGATTAGATCTACATAAAAATAAATGCCACATGTCAGTCATAAAAACATCAATATATGCACCTATCAAATAAATATGACCCATATCACATGGTCAAATGCACAATCATACTTCATGTATGATACATTGCAGATAATAGAGTATTAACACAGTACACCGCAGGATTCAATTTATTCTTATATGTAATGCAGGTTTGTCTTTAAACTGCCATTTGTAGATTTTGAGATGTGCCTTAAACTTCTTGGGACGTTTCTGCATTTTCTTGTTATTGGTGAGTTAAGTTTTTTAATTATAGTATCTATTAAAGACAATTGAACGATAAGGAGATTGATTAAAACATCAAGAATATTGATTGACAAATAACAATGATTTCAAATAAATATACAAAAATATATTTTCCCCTACGTTCAAGACATTTGAAATGACTAAATAATTGGCAATTGAGTCAATCATATATGGTTTTTACCTTCACATACAATTGATAATAACATCTGTAACAAATATCAAAACTGAGCTGTTCTACATAATCAAGGTACACCTAAAAGCCACTGACAACAACTGAATCCCTTATATATGATATGTACTTTTTTCCTCAAATCTGTTATAGTCATACACAGATAATAACCAGAGTATGCTGGGTTATATTTTTACAATAATTTCGTGTGTATTGCATTAACTTATGCATTGTAACCACAACAAATAACAACAAAGCATTAACATGACAAAGGTCACCACCTGCCATGTGTTACATACAACGACTGCTGAACACCAATTGCCAACCACTGGACACCGACCAAAAAGATTACAACAGAGATTATAACAATATGTCACCACTTTTAATTTTCCCAAATTGTAAAAACTAAAATCTGTAGTAAAATTTTTTTTAGTTGCTGCAATCCCATGTGACGATACTGATCCAGTGTTCCAGCCATGTCTCGACAATTACTTTGGCCCAGTGGCACCTGGTGAAGATGCACTACTCTGCGTTGATCCTTTTACAGGGGGAGAAGTAGGAGTGTGTGATGAAGCTAATTGTAACTGTAGCTCTGGTGAGTTTATAAAAAGTATAGCCATTTGCCTCAAACGCCCTTATCCTACTAACTCTTGATGTTTGCAGGGATCTCCCCAAGTCACTTTTAATGCCCCCCCCCCAGTCGGCACCCTGCACGCCAACTTCTGATTTGCAAAATAAGTGAAGTACACCTATCTGGAGATATCAGGAGCCTGGGGAGCGCAGAGTTTTTCAGACTTGAAAAATTGCACCCAGTTGAAATTTTTTGAGGGAGAAACTGGTTTGTTTAAATTTGTGCTCAGTGTTGACAATAAGTAGCAGCCAAATTCCCCAATAATTTCACTGACATGTAAATGAGTACTTTTAGTACATTGTAATAATACATTGCAAGAATCCAAAATATTAAGTAGCCACCAAATGTTCAAAATAGCAACCCCCCCCAAAAAAATAGCACCAAATTAAGTAAAAGTACAGTAGCTGACCTAAACATTGTTAAACCCTATTATTGAACTAAAAACACAGTGACAGATTGATAGATAAGGTGACAGATAAACAGATAAGGTGACTGATAAACAGATAAGGTGACTGATGATGTACCACTGGATAGTGCCACACAGGTTCCTGACAAGGCATTTGATGAAAAAACAACATGCCAATAAAAAAAACAATACCCTGGATTATTAACTTCTATGGCAACTGAGGGAAATTTTACATTTTTTGCCAGTTATGCTCATTTCATTAATACTATCTTTAAATAGGCAATATACTCATAATATGTAATCTTCATTGGGGTAAAAGTATAAGATAGATACATTAGAAATATTTTAAAACATAATTTGTACACATTTTCTTAGAAAAACATTTTCAGGCTGTTTTTGGTATTCATAAGCTTATTACTGTTAAACAACAGTAAAACTTGTCTTAGTGAACACCTCTCTTTAGTGAACACCTCTCTTTAGTGAACACCTGTGTTAAGTGAATATCACTTCAATTCATTTTACATTGACTCCTGTATAAAATACCCTCTCTGAAGAACACCTTTCTACAGTGAACACTATGTATAGGTTTTACTGTTTCATAACTGTTATTACTGACAAATGAGAGTGTGACAACATACAATATCACGAACAAAACTTTGTTGCAAGCGTTTTTATCATCATAAACAGGTGTCCAGAATCCGTACCTCCTTCTTCCCCCTGCTATAACCAATTTGGAAGCGCCCGATTTAACTGAATCATGTGATCTTACTATGCGCAATGGCTTATACATGATTTATGTCGCAGTGTTGCGACAGCCAATCAGATTGCGAGTTCTTAATCAGGGAAATGGTAACTGCTTATCGCAAGGGGTAAAAAGAAAGAATATATTCTGGATTTTGAAGTCTTGTGATCGGAGGATTGTTTTTATTAAAAACTAACTATTTTCCAAATGGTTTCTACTACTAAACCATTCATGTGACCTCCGGTTCCGCAATAATAATAAGCCTTACAATTGAAAAATAACCTAAAAGAACACTTCATATTTCTGTTGATTTTCACCATAGGTGTTATAGATGCTTCAGAGACTTTTCGCAGACATGGAGAAGACCTTATCGGCCTGGACTCATCTACACTGACGGGAAGTGCAAAGACAGCATTTGACGAAGTGTTGGAAAAAGCCGATATGGCACAGATTAAAGAAGAGACAAGTGTTTACATTTTACTAGCAAATGAAGAAGCACTTATATTATTTGTACGAGGTCTGTCAGGTGGAACGTTTGTCTGTCAAGGACTGAGTCAGTTAATGAATACGTTATGGAATCTAAAAACTGCAATCGATGATGCGATTGTTGTGTTTGATGCATTGCCACAGCAACCAGCGACAGATGCAATTTTGAAAGTTTACAGAGAAAATAGTAACTTCCTGAACTGGATGAAAATTATATATTTTCCTAAAAGTAAGGAACTGTGTGAAAAACTGATGTACAGTAAAACTATGTAAGTGGGAATCTCTGGGAACGCCTAAGAGATGTTGCACTTGACATGTTTTTCTGTATGTTTAAACCTAAACCCTGCGAGCCAACATAGATATTTAAAATGAAAAAAATATTTAAAATTTATTCAAATTAATCACATTTTGGAACAATACTCAAATATTGACCTCTTTTATGGCAAATTCTAAGGCTAAGGCAGAGCTAAACATGAGCTAATTCAAGAACTACTGATGAAAATAATCACACCAAAACATAATTAATTTACAGTCCTTGATTTGCTTGAGTTGGAATGTACCAAAGATGACCACTGTGGCGATCGCCATAAACCATATTGCATTGTGGGAATGGACCAATGTTTCTGCAGTGCCGAATGCCGCAACGATAATGACTGTAATGAACTTTCGAAGCCAAACTGTCGCTCCAACCGTGCCGGAATTATGATTTGTGGAGACCCCCATGTGTCTCAAACTATCAAAGGAACGCATCACAGACTGTGTTATGATTTCTATGGAAAACCAGGAGCAACATACATGTTTCTAAAAGACAGAGCAATAGGTAAGTATGTGTATATGATTATGACAAGGAACTAGGCTCAATAGAAAAACCTCCTCTAAAGCACATAAAATGAAAGCAAGGCATTAACATGCAACATGTCACAAGTTGCCATTTGTTACAGAAACCAAACACCAACCACTGAATGCTGACTGCCGAACACCAGCCACACTGGCCATTGAACACCGTTCATAAAAAAGTTGGGAGACGATATGTCCAATGTGTATACTTTTGCCCTTTACCTTAATGGAACTTCAGTTTCAGCTTAAGTATTTTAATATCTGAATGCGAATTGAAAAATGTTGAAAGGATAATTTTAGTAAACGTGAACACTTTCAAGCCTTAAGACACACTTATCTATAATAATGGGCAGCTATTTGAAAGCATGTCTCAATATGGGCAGCTATTTGAAAGCATGTCTCAATATGGGCAGCTATTTGAAAGCACGTCTCAATATGGGCAGCTATTTAAAAGCACGTCTCAATATGGGCAGCTATTTGAAAGCATGTCTCAATATGGGCAGCTATTTGAAAGCATATCTCAATATGGGCAGCTATTTGAAAGCATGTCTCAATATGGGCAGCTATTTGAAAGCATGTCTCAATATGGGCAGCTATTTGAAAGCATGTCTCAATATGGGCAGCTATTTGAAAGCATGTCTCAATATGGGCAGCTATTTAAAAGCATGTCTCAATATGGGCAGCTATTTGAAAGCATGTCTCAATATGGGCAGCTATTTGAAAGCATGTCTCAATATGGGCAGCTATTTGAAAGCATGTCTCAATATGGGCAGCTATTTGAAAGCATGTCTCAATATGGGCAGCTATTTGAAAGCATGTCTCAATATGGGCAGCTATTTGAAAGCATGTCTCAATATGGGCAGCTATTTGAAAGCATGTCTCAATATGGGCAGCTATTTGAAAGCATGTCTCAATATGGGCAGCTATTTGAAAGCATGTCTCAATATGGGCAGCTATTTGAAAGCATGTCTCAATATGGGCAGCTATTTGAAAGCATGTCTCAATATGGGCAGCTATTTGAAAGCATGTCTCAATATGGGCAGCTATTTGAAAGCATGTCTCAATATGGGCAGCTATTTAAAAGCATGTATCAATATGGGCAGCTATTTGAAAGCATGTATCAATATGGGCAGCTATTTGAAACCATGTCTCAATATGGGCAGCTATTTGAAAGCATGTCTCAATATGGGCAGCTATTTGAAACCATGTCTCAATAGATAAACCATTCATTATTTTTCAGAGGTCGTGGCAACCTTTATTGATGCCAAAAATATCACAGCAGGATCTTTCGTGGAATATGTAGGCACGCTCGGGATTAAAATGGGAGAAACTCATATTCTTATTACACCTACAAAAATACAAGTGAACATGAAAGAAACAAAAACTTACTACTGGGTTGCACAGAAAATAAACCTTGATATTGGATGGATTTCGGTTACCAGAAAACAACTCCATGTTTTTATCGAGGAGGCTGATGTTAAAGTTAAAGTTCTGGTTACACGAAAGGGAAAGGCGAGTGGATTGCCGTTCTTGAATTTTGGCATCACTGAGATTGAGGAATTATCAGAGAGTGCAGAAGGAATTATGGGTAATTAAATTTATTTTAAATATTGCTATAATCAAATTACAAGGCGTTAAGATGCAAAATGTTACCAATTGCCATTTGTCTACAAAAAAGTTGGAGACTATGACAATATGTCACCACTGGTGGTTGTGACATAAAATATGTCACCACTGGTGGTTGTGACATAATAAGAGATTTTCTTATATATTCATTTTTAATTCCTATTTCAGGGTTGCATAGTTGTGTGATAGTTTGAAAATATTTATATTTTTTGTATTCTATTTTCTTCAGGTTCTATAGGAAACGAAGCAATGTTTCACGCCGCAAGAGACAATGACGGATTTGTCACATGGTCTGACATCACAATCCCAGTGAAACTTGACAAACAGAACTGCGTTAAAATTGTTGAACATTTTCGAGGGAACTTCACCGATAGACTACAGGAGTTTGAAATTATGGACGCATACGGGTATGACATCAATTGGAATGACATGAACGAGAATGATGATACCCTAAGATATGATGAAAATGAAATCTCCCTTTATGCAGATGATGATGACGATGATGAAAATGATGAAGACAGTGTTATTGCATAATGTACATCTATAAGATGGCCTCTATATCTTAACAGTTGTAGAAAATAAAGCCATAACGCTTTAATAATGATTTGCCTTTCACTTAATATTCTTTTCAATAAAAATCAACATTTACAGCCCTCAAAAACAAAATTTAAGTTAAATAAATAAAATTCAGAGAAAAATGATTTATTTTAGACATTTCAAATCGGAAATTGTTGTTTTTCTAAACTGTTGCCTTGAGGATTTTTGTATCATCCAAAATCTACAGGACATTCTGAAGCATTATACAGTAATTAGTACACCTTTGGTACCTCTCAAAAATGTTACACTTGGGAGGTGTTCCACTTATAAAGGTTCATTTAACATTAAGTCAGTTGATCATCAGGGACTCTGAAAAGTGTTTCATTAACAGAGGTGTTCCTCTTATAGAGGTGTTCCACTTTACTTTTGTATTATAAAATGTGCTTGTTAAAAACCAGTGTCTACATACCTTTCTGGGTTGAATGTCAAACTTGACACAGTGCTGGAACCCCTTGCCTTTCACTTTCATAGATGTCACCACTAGAGCATTTCCAAGGAAATGACAGGAGTAACCAATCCCTTTGCTCGTTTTAAAGCTGAAGATAAACATAGGAGACATTCAAAGATGAAAACATATTCAAATAAAATAAAACAGACACAGTTTAGAGCTACAAAGAGCTACATATTCTATGTAGATTCCTCTTAATTCAATTTAATTCACTTTTTTTTCAACTTGACGCTCAAAGCACATAGGTTTTTCTTATTTATATCTGAACTAAATGTAAAAAGTGTTATCTTATTTCACCAATTTTCACTCCTTTGAATGAAATGTGAAGTACTATTGAACTCCACTAGAATTTATCGAATTGACTATCAATCATTTAACTCAATTACTTGTCCTATTTCCACCCAATTTAGCATCTTAAAACATGAGCCCCTTCAAGCAAATACCAGTAATAAAGATAGGGTTTTTCTCTCTCTATGTTGACACCTGAGACTAAATCCTAACTGAACCACGAGGAAAATTACAAGATTTTTCACTCTTTATAGAATTAATATAAATTTAAATGAAGTATGGAAACTTTCAAGCACATACCAGTAAAGATAGGGTTTTTCTCTCTCTATATTGACACCCGTGACTGGATCCAATCTGAACCATGTAGAAAACGACCAGCCATTTTGGTACGGCCATCTAGCTATAGGTGGCAGTGCAATACCCTGAAAAACAAAATGAACACTAAAAAAATATGTATTCATTACAAAGCTGAAATAGTGTAGAAACAATTGCATTAACATGCAAATGTCACCACCATTTGTTACTGATGCCAATGGCCGAACACCAACCGCCGATTGTCAACTGCCGTCACAAATAACGGAGACTATAACAATATGTGACCACTTTTTAAAATATTTTTTTGATATATCCCATTAATTTTATAAGCCTTTGCACTTCTAAAACTGTTAATATAGCAAAGTCTGTCGATGGCCCAAGTTACAGAAAATTTAGATGAGAACTCTGGGGTTTCCTTAATTTTTGAGTGTCTGACACCTGGTAAAACAAATGAAGACAACATGTAAAGTTATGAGAAATTATAATATCAACATGCAAACAATTGCAAATTTTCTCAAAACAAACCAAAACAACAGGCGATTTTAGTAAAAACAACATGAGAATATCGCCTGTTGCTTGCTTCTAATAAAACCCCTGCAATTCAAAATGCTTATCTTGCATTCACGAATTCAAATGCTGGCTGTCGCCTGACGGATTAACCTACTATTTAATGACCAACTCATTTAAATATGATTACTACCTGCCACTATTCTATTCATATTTAAATGAGTTTGCCACAAAAAAGAAAGTTAATCTGGTAGCGGACAGCCGAAAGTTAGATTCCCGAATAGAAGCTTACATTTTTAAAAACAGACCAAAAGACAAACAAACATAGAGATGGATGTATCAGTGGACAATTCCACGGAGTCCCTGTGTGAGCCATTTGATATTTCTTGTTTACTTACAGAGCCTTTCTTGCCAGGAAAGCTGAAGAACTCATCAGGGCCATGCCTCTCAGGCATCTGCTTTAAGACACTCAGGAGCTTCACAGAATGATGGCGCTAAAATTAGATTTTTTGATAGAATGACATGACGTTTTTCTAAATACAGCTTTGATTGGCTTATGAATTCCCCAGAGGGAGTATTATGCTGTTTATCATCAAGATTTCAAATTACTGTTTAAACAGCTTATAATTAACAAGGCACATGGTAAACAATACTGTGTCTAAAAATCAAAATAGGCTGCCTAAAAATTTAACTATCAGTTCAAAATCAAAATTTAGGCAAGTAATCAATCAGTTCTGGACATTCATACTAAGAAATGTCCAGGAAATTTTCAAATCAATTGTCAAGCGGAAATGTCAAGACAAGTTGTACAGACAAGAATTTTGCAATTTTGTGAGTATAGTATTCTCAATACTAGATACCAGAGAAAGGCCTTTTGGAAGTACATTCAACATCATATAGCAAGTATAGTTGCTTAAGAAACTGCACATTGTATACTTTTACTTTTTCATGTGTTTTTATATAATATTTTCTATTTTTCTATTTTTTTACATCTTTAACTGATGTCTTACCCATTTGTTGTTGTTCCCCTTCAGCATGGCAAATATAATCTTCAGTTCTTTGACTGTAATACTATAGCTTGCTAATACTCCCATCATTTCTATGAGTAGATCTGTAACATAATATATAACAATGGCTTCATTAGATAGCAGGCAAAATGAATTAAAACAACAGGCAAAATGAATTAAAACAACAGGCAAAATGAATTAAACAATGGGCAAAATGAATCTAAACAATAGGCAAAATGAATTAAAACAATAGGCAAAATGAATTAAAAACAATAGGCAACATTATTTGAAATTCTCATTTTCAAAATTCAGACTTAAACTTGCTTTTTCTCTTTTTCAAGTGGGTAAAACTCATTGTTCTGGTGGATACAAGCATATTTCCAAGCATAAAATAATTGCTTAATCAAAATGGAGAAAAATAATATATGCTATACTAAGCAGTATAGTAAAGTATTTCAACAAATAGATATTGTGTTCTGTATATGCCATCGTTGCTTGGTCTGCATTAGCTATTAGTTTCCTATATTTTCTACCCTTTTCAATCAAAGGAAAGCATCAACTGCAGAGCAAATTGATTACCATTAGCCTTCGAGTTGCAGGCAAGCAGGGTTACCATATTATCAAATAAAAATTGATGTTTCCTTAATTTAAGCCTGAAATTCTAAGAATTTCATATGAAACAGTGTTTAACTTTTTGATCAACCCTCGTAACCCCAGTATCACAGTCTCTGATACCTTAAAGCACTTATATCTATTTTAAAACATGATGTTAATCATAGTTGCTGTTGGTGGCACAAATTAAAACCTGAGACTAATATGGTATATGTAATATCATGGGATTACATCTACAGATGAGATCCAATCTTGCCTGACATTTGAGTTATATAATACGAAACACACTAATGCAAACTGAGCCTATAAAAATGCTCAATTGGAAAACAAGAGCGCAAGGTGCAGAGGTCTTTTTGAATTTTAATTTGAAGGTGTAATATGTGTTGCTATATACACCTTTAAGTTGCAGAATTGCATTTTGCATTTTTTAAGATTGTGTCAAATTCTCTGAAAATTGTTTTTCTATTGGCCAATTGGTTTATACAATATGTCTCAGTGCTTTTAAATTTTAAGACAATTCTTGTTCATTACACCTGTTGCTATGACAATACCTGTTTCTAATATATCATGCTGGTTGCTAAGACAAAACATTTTCCAATATGTATATAACAACTGTTGCTATGATAATACAAGTTTCTCATATACAGTATTAGACATGTTGCTAAGACAATATATATTATGCCTGTTACTATGACAATATATTATACATGTTGCTGTGACAATACATGCTTCTAATATATGACACCTGTTGCCAAGGCAATTTATGTTTCTAATACATTAAATATGTTGCTATGACAAACCTGCTATGATTTCATCAGCCTTTTGAAGTCTCCCAAGTGCGTGTTCTATTAGGCCAACCTCCAAACATGCCTGGAGGTTGCGGGTACTCTTCCGAAGTATTGCTGTAAAGACGCTCCACAACTCAGCCTAAAAAATAAAAAACAAAAAAGTTTTCAATCATTGGCAATCTAGTTATCAATGTTTGTTTGAAAATGCAAAAAGCAATAAGAATGGTAAAACATGATTGAAAAATACAGGAAAGCAGATTAAGTTTTTTTCCAAAAGATTAATGCTTTATTTGAGAAAATAGTTCACATCATTGGAATCAATTTTGGTAATGATCCCTTCATCACAATATCAACAATCAACATGATAGTTATACTCACTTATCATGATATAAAGTACTGAAAATATTTTTGTATGTAGCACTGGCGGATCCAGGGGCGCCCATGGGGCCTTCCCCTCTGAAAAAAATGTTAGGGTCCCAAAAGTGTTTGGGCATAATTTGGCCTTTTTAGACCTTCATTAGGCAAAATGATCAAAAATATGGGCCCCTCAACCCCCTACTCCCCCCCATCCCATTGTTAGCTTCTGGATCCGCCAGTGTGTAGTACCAGCAATTTGGTTATACAGCCACAAATGGGTTGACTCTAAGTGAGAGTCGCCATTCATTATGACATAGAATTCCAAACTCTCAACTGGATTTTCAATTTGGTTATATTTTTGATATTGTCTAACCTGACATGGCTTGTTTTATGGTATCTGACTTTAAAAAATAGTTCCACGAAAGCAAGAGCAAGACCACACAACTCAATAAGTGATTGCTGTAACAGAAATATAAAATGTCTCAACTATTTTGAAATCAATGAGAAAAATAAAAAATGCTTCTATGAAATGCTTCGTGATATTCCCTAAAATTGCTTGTTACTATCTGTTTTGAAATCAATGAGTGCCACTTCTTGGTCTCTAAAGAGCTCTTACAAGAAGAGTTTAGAGCCAATTCCCCGGCCTGATTTCATGCTTCGCAGGACTAATTAATACATGCCGTCTGCTTAAAAAACACTATTTATGCTTATTCCTGTAGATTTCTCTCTAAAATTTGAATAAACTGTTTGATTCTATTGCATTTCTGTTTACTTAATATCCATCTGTATCACTTCCCGCCTCTTCCAATATTTTCTACTCAATTTTGCATTTTAAAATATGACCGTGGGGAAATTTTACGTATGGGAAACCATCAATCAAATTAGTTCACTTTGTGAATGTAATTAGACATTTTCAAATGGCAGGATGATCCGAATGATGGTGTTGAATATTCAGTGAACCAAGACAACGTGTTGCAGAATCTCACCAAAATGGATCTAACTTACCCACTAGGGTGTCTAGCGGCTTGTTTTTATAGTGTATATTATATAAGAATTATGAAATAAATAAATTGAATTGAATTGAATTGAACTTTGACAATGGTTATCCAATTTATTCAAAATGTGAATAATGGGTCTATTTTTTCTACATTTACCAAATTGACTCACATATTACATTCAAAGTAAAACCCGTCTAGGCTGAATGCCTATGGAGCTGGCCAAAAGTGTTCAGATTAGCAGGTGTTCACATTTCAAGGTTTCTCACTGTGTGGATTAATGTGAGATAACAAAATTGGGGCCAAGAAAAAGTGTTCACATTTTGAGACGTTTGGATTCGAGAGGTGTTCAGATATGCAGGTTATATTTTATTGTATTGTAGTCAACTGGCAAAATATAAGAAATGCTAGGGTATCCAAATAAAGGGTAATGAAAGGTAGTATTTTCAAATTCAAAATTGAGAAATTAAATGAAAAGGAATGGAAAATATAGGCCTATATAGTGTTGTGCATGTAGTAAAACAAATTGTTGAGAAATGTAGGAAAAATGTCAAGATTAAATTTAAAAAATAGAAAAAATGGAATAAACACAACATGACACTGACATTCAAATAAAACCTTACAGCATAGTTCTAATTTAATTGTCAATTGTAATTGTCAACGAAATGAAGAATTTCTATTCAACCTTCATTAGAAATATTGCAATAAAATATAAAGGGGCATTAAGAACTGTCTACTATGACAGAAATAATTTTGAAACTGTCAATTAAGTTACAATAGTATATTATGTTTTCTGAGAAATGAAAATTGCCTGTAATCTACATCTTCGTACACTCGGTCTTTACTGAGACTGATGGGAGTCAAGTGAATAAAGATGTGTACACAGCCAATATAATTCGATGCCAAAAGTTCAGCATCGAACAAATTCGGCACTGTTCCAGCACTGTTTCGACACCGTTCCGGCACCAAAACCTTTCGACACCAAAATTTGCTACTGGACTAGTCAGTCCATTTGGTGCCGAAACGGCACCGAAATTTGGCACCGAAACGGCATCGAAAATCATCTATCAATCAATCCATCTATAATCGTAATAACAACATGATATATGGATGTAGAACAGAAGAACACCTCTGTAAATTGAACACTTGCATTTAAGTGAAACACCCCTATGAATGGAAGACATCCATAAGTAGAACACTTAAGAGAGTTCCATGGCCAAGTGAATGACAATATAGAAGAACCTCTGCAATAAGAACACCTTCTTTAACACTTGCATTTAAGTGAAACACCCCTATGAATGGAAGACATCCATAAGTAGAACACTTAAGAGAGTTCCATGGCCAAGTGAATGACAATATAGAAGAACCTCTGCAATAAGAACACCTTCTTTAACACTTGCATTTAAGTGAAACACCCCTATGAATGGAAGACATCCATAAGTAGAACACTTAAGAGAGTCCCATGGCCAAGTGAATGACAATGTAGAATGAACCTTTGCAATTAGAACACCTCCAAATTGAACACTTGTATTTAAGTAGAACACCCCTATGAATGGAAGACCTCCAAAAAAGAACACTTAGGAGAGTCCCATGGCCAAATGAATGGCAATGTAAAATGAACCTCTGCAATTAGAACACCTTCAAATTGAACATTTGCATTTAAGTGGAACACCTCTATGAATGGAAGACATCCATAAGTAGAACACTTAGGAGAGTCCCATGGCCAAGTGAATAGCAATGTAAAATGAACCTTTGCAATTAGAACACCTCCAAATTGAACATTTGCATGTAAGTGGAACACCTCTATGAATGGAAGACATCCATAAGTAGAACACTTAGGAGAGTCCCATGGCCAAATGAATGGCAATGTAAAATGAACCTTTGCAATTAGAACATCTTCAAATTGAACATTTGCATGTAAGTGAAACACCCCTATGAATGGAAGACATCCATAAGTAGAACACTTAGGAGAGTCCCATGGCCAAGTGAATAGCAATGTAAAATGAACCTTTGCAATTAGAACACCTTCAAATTGAACACTTGTATTTAAGTAGAACACCCCTATGAATGGAAGACCTCCATAAGTAGAACACTTAAGAGTCCCATGGCCAAGTGAATAGCAATGTAAAATGAACCTCTGCAATTAGAACACCTTCAAATTGAACACTTGCATTTAAGTGGAACACCTCTATGAATGGAAGACCTCCATAAGTAGAACACTTAAGAGAGTCCCATGGCCAAGTGAATGACAATGTAGAATGAACCTTTGCAATTAGAACACCTCCAAATTGAACACTTGTATTTAAGTAGAACACCCCTATGAATGGAAGACCTCCAAAAAAGAACACTTAGGAGAGTCCCATGGCCAAATGAATGGCAATGTAAAATGAACCTCTGCAATTAGAACACCTTCAAATTGAACATTTGCATGTAAGTGGAACACCTCTATGAATGGAAGACCTCCATAAGTAGAACACTTAGGAGAGTCCCATGGCCAAGTGAATAGCAATGTAAAATGAACCTCTGCAATAAGAACACCTTCAAATTGAACACTTGTATTTAAGTAGAACACCCCTATGAATGGAAGACCTCCAAAAAAGAACACTTAGGAGAGTCCCATGGCCAAATGAATGGCAATGTAAAATGAACCTCTGCAATTAGAACACCTTCAAATTGAACATTTGCATGTAAGTGGAACACCTCTATGAATGGAAGACCTCCATAAGTAGAACACTTAGGAGAGTCCCATGGCCAAGTGAATAGCAATGTAAAATGAACCTCTGCAATAAGAACACCTTCAAATTGAACACTTGCATTTAAGTAGAACACCCCTATGAATGGAAGACCTCCATAAGTAGAACACTTAGGAGAGTCCCATGGCCAAGTGAATAGCAATGTAAAATGAACCTCTGCAATTAGAACACCTTCAAATTGAACATTTGCATGTAAGTGGAACACCTCTATGAATGGAAGACCTCCATAAGTAGAACACTTAAGAGAGTTCCATGGCCAAGTGAATGACAATATAGAAGAACCTCTGCAATAAGAACACCTTCTTTAACACTTGCATTTAAGTGAAACACCCCTATGAATGGAAGACATCCATAAGTAGAACACTTAAGAGAGTTCCATGGCCAAGTGAATGACAATATAGAAGAACCTCTGCAATAAGAACACCTTCTTTAACACTTGCATTTAAGTGGAACACCCCTATGAATGGAAGACCTCCATAAGTAGAACACTTAAGAGAGTCCCATGGCCAAGTGAATGACAATGTAGAATGAACCTTTGCAATTAGAACACCTCCAAATTGAACACTTGTATTTAAGTAGAACACCCCTATGAATGGAAGACCTCCAAAAAAGAACACTTAGGAGAGTCCCATGGCCAAATGAATAGCAATGTAAAATGAACCTTTGCAATTAGAACATCTTCAAATTGAACACTTGTATTTAAGTAGAACACCCCTATGAATGGAAGACCTCCATAAGTAGAACACTTAGGAGAGTCCCATGGCCAAGTGAATAGCAATGTAAAATGAACCTCTGCAATAAGAACACCTTCAAATTGAACACTTGTATTTAAGTAGAACACCCCTATGAATGGAAGACCTCCATAAGTAGAACACTTAGGAGAGTCCCATGGCCAAGTGAATAGCAATGTAAAATGAACCTTTGCAATTAGAACACCTCCAAATTGAACACTTGTATTTAAGTAGAACACCCCTATGAATGGAAGACCTCCATAAGTAGAACACTTAAGAGTCCAATGGCCAAGTGAATAGCAATGTAAAATGAACCTCTGCAATAAGAACACCTTCAAATTGAACACTTGTATTTAAGTAGAACACCCCTATGAATGGAAGACCTCCATAAGTAGAACACTTAGGAGAGTCCCATGGCCAAGTGAATAGCAATGTAAAATGAACCTCTGCAATTAGAACACCTTCAAATTGAACATTTGCATGTAAGTGGAACACCTCTATGAATGGAAGACCTCCATAAGTAGAACACTTAGGAGAGTCCCATGGCCAAGTGAATAGCAATGTAAAATGAACCTTTGCAATTAGAACACCTTCAAATTGAACACTTGTATTTAAGTGGAACACCTCTATGAATGGAAGACATCCATAAGTAGAACACTTAAGAGTCCCATGGCCAAGTGAATAGCAATGTAAAATGAACCTTTGCAATTAGAACATCTTCAAATTGAACACTTGCATTTAAGTGGAACACCTCTATGAATGGAAGACCTCCATAAGTAGAACACTTAGGAGAGTCCCATGGCCAAGTGAATAGCAATGTAAAATGAACCTCTGCAATAAGAACACCTTCAAATTGAACACTTGTATTTAAGTAGAACACCCCTATGAATGGAAGACCTCCATAAGTAGAACACTTAGGAGAGTCCCATGGCCAAGTGAATAGCAATGTAAAATGAACCTTTGCAATTAGAACACCTTCAAATTGAACACTTGTATTTAAGTGGAACACCTCTATGAATGGAAGACATCCATAAGTAGAACACTTAAGAGTCCCATGGCCAAGTGAATAGCAATGTAAAATGAACCTTTGCAATTAGAACATCTTCAAATTGAACATTTGCATGTAAGTGGAACACCCCTATGAATGGAAGACATCCATAAGTAGAACACTTAAGAGAGTCCCATGGCCAAGTGAATGACAATGTAGAATGAACCTTTGCAATTAGAACACCTCCAAATTGAACACTTGTATTTAAGTAGAACACCCCTATGAATGGAAGACCTCCAAAAAAGAACACTTAGGAGAGTCCCATGGCCAAGTGAATAGCAATGTAAAATGAACCTCTGCAATAAGAACACCTTCTTTAACACTTGCATTTAAGTGGAACACCTCTATGAATGGAAGACCTCCATAAGTAGAACACTTAAGAGAGTCCCATGGCCAAGTGAATAGCAATGTAAAATGAACCTCTGCAATTAGAACACCTCCAAATTGAACACTTGTATTTAAGTAGAACACCCCTATGAATGGAAGACCTCCAAAAAAGAACACTTAGGAGAGTCCCATGGCCAAATGAATGGCAATGTAAAATGAACCTTTGCAATTAGAACATCTTCAAATTGAACACTTGCATTTAAGTGGAACACCTCTATGAATGGAAGACATCCATAAGTAGAACACTTAAGAGAGTCCCATGGCCAAGTGAATGACAATATAGAAGAACCTCTGCAATAAGAACACCTTCTTTAACACTTGCATTTAAGTGGAACACCTCTATGAATGGAAGACATCCATAAGTAGAACACTTAGGAGAGTCCCATGGCCAAGTGAATAGCAATGTAAAATGAACCTCTGCAATAAGAACACCTTCAAATTGAACACTTGTATTTAAGTAGAACACCCCTATGAATGGAAGACCTCCATAAGTAGAACACTTAGGAGAGTCCCATGGCCAAGTGAATAGCAATGTAAAATGAACCTTTGCAATTAGAACACCTTCAAATTGAACATTTGCATGTAAGTGGAACACCTCTATGAATGGAAGACCTCCATAAGTAGAACACTTAGGAGAGTCCCATGGCCAAGTGAATAGCAATGTAAAATGAACCTCTGCAATAAGAACACCTTCAAATTGAACACTTGTATTTAAGTAGAACACCCCTATGAATGGAAGACCTCCATAAGTAGAACACTTAAGAGAGTCCCATGGCCAAGTGAATGACAATGTAGAATGAACCTCTGCAATTAGAACACCTCCAAATTGAACACTTGTATTTAAGTAGAACACCTCTATGAATGGAAGACCTCCAAAAAAGAACACTTAGGAGAGTCCCATGGCCAAATGAATGGCAATGTAAAATGAACCTCTGCAATTAGAACACCTTCAAATTGAACACTTGCATTTAAGTGGAACACCTCTATGAATGGAAGACATCCATAAGTAGAACACTTAGGAGAGTCCCATGGCCAAGTGAATAGCAATGTAAAATGAACCTCTGCAATAAGAACACCTCCAAATTGAACACTTGTATTTAAGTAGAACACCCCTATGAATGGAAGACCTCCATAAGTAGAACACTTAAGAGTCCCATGGCCAAGTGAATAGCAATGTAAAATGAACCTCTGCAATAAGAACACCTCCAAATTGAACACTTGTATTTAAGTAGAACACCCCTATGAATGGAAGACCTCCATAAGTAGAACACTTAAGAGTCCCATGGCCAAGTGAATAGCAATGTAAAATGAACCTCTGCAATAAGAACACCTCCAAATTGAACACTTGTATTTAAGTAGAACACCCCTATGAATGGAAGACCTCCATAAGTAGAACACTTAAGAGTCCCATGGCCAAGTGAATAGCAATGTAAAATGAACCTTTGCAATTAGAACATCTTCAAATTAAACACTTGCATTTAAGTGAAACACCCCTATGAATGGAAGACATCCATAAGTAGAACACTTAGGAGAGTCCCATGGCCAAGTGAATAGCAATGTAAAATGAACCTTTGCAATTAGAACATCTTCAAATTAAACACTTGCATTTAAGTGAAACACCCCTATGAATGGAAGACATCCATAAGTAGAACACTTAAGAGAGTTCCATGGCCAAGTGAATGACAATATAGAAGAACCTCTGCAATTAGAACACCTCCAAAATTGAAAGTTACCTGTAACCTATCTATTCTATAATAACTAGATGTTTAAGATTGCAAGCAATCTTACGGAGGCCCCGTAAACTTTGAGAAACTTAGAAAACACAGCTTGTGATCTTGTTTGATGACCTTGACCTTTGACCTTGACCTTTGACCTTGAAAATTTTACTTTTTTAGACCTCAGTATATCTGAAAAATATATTTGAAAAATCAACTTTTTTGACCTTTCGAAGGTCACTGAAGGTCAACTAAAGGTCATAGGTCAAAACTTAGGTCAGATTTGAGTTCCTGAGATCTTGTAGATGCTTTTTTTTTAAAATTTGGTTAATTTAGAGCAAGTTGAAATTTGACCTTGAAAAATTTTGAAATTTGACCTTTTTTCAGTTTTTGAGTTCTAATATCTCAAAACTGGAGCAAAATTTTAATATATAGTCAATTGCTAATATGTGTAGAACCTTTAGAGGAATATATATTCTGACTTTCAGTAAAAAAAATTGATTTGTAGTCTCCAATTTTGAGAAACTTAGAAAACACAGTTTGTGATTTCATTTGATGACCTTGACCTTTGACCTTGCAAATTTTACTTTTTTAGACCTCAGTGGGTCTTTTGTGAATAAATATACCTAAATTTGAATCCAGAAAATCGAGTTGAAAAATCAACTTTTTTGACCTTTCGGAGGTCACTGAAGGTCAACCAAAGGTCAAAGGTCAAAAGTAAGGTCAGATTTGGTATCCTGAGAACTTGTAGATGAGTTTAAAAAAAAATTGGTCAATTTGAAGCAAGTTGAAAAAAGACCAATTTTTACCGTTTTTTGACGTCAATTATCTCAAAAACGGTAAAAAATGAATGCGAAGATATAGTGAGCAATTTATAAGGAATGCTTATATCTAGTTACATTTTAATTCATCGCAAGAAATAATGAAGTATGACGACGAAATCTGAGAAACTCAAAAAAAACTTTGATTTGACCTAGATTTTGACCTAGATAAAAATTCCTTTCCCGGTAAGTTCAACCTAGTACCCTAGTAGGTTCATATAGTAGATAGTTGAAATCTAGTTAGAAGTAGGAGAAAAAGTGCAGAGAAGAATAAAGAATAATAATAAAGAATACAGAATAAAGAATAAATAATATCTATAAAATCTATAGGAGGCCCCCCGTTGGGGCCTCCTAATTAGAACATGATTTGTACTATAACATCTAATTAGATTTGCAAAAAGGCTCAGAATGGCAAAATGGATAACAGGCAATCTGCAATGATGGCATTTGATTTTTGATTAATTTCTCTGCTATCAACTAGATTTCTACTTGACATGACAATGCTTTCTACTCCTGTTAAAAGTTAAAACATATGTGTAATGTGTATCATTGGTTATATAAAAGAACGCAGTTACGTGAAAAAGCATTTTCTGATTGACTGGAATTGGACACAGCTTGCTTAGCTATATGTGAATATGTATCAAAGAACCTCCGATATGTCTCAATATGCTTGTAATGTGTCTCAATATACCTGTAATGTGTCGCAACGTACCTGTAATGTGTCATTGCAACAATCCATTAACTCTTGCATATGGAGAACGTTCTCTGGGTCTGCTATTATAAAGTTAGTCTCCATGTCAAACTCCCCTCCGACTAACTGAAAATATAAAATAACATGTTTATGTTAAAGTAGCAAAACCGGTGTAATATATATGAGTAACAAGGCATTAACATGCAAAATGTCACCATCTGCCAATTGTTAAAGATGCTGAGTGCAGACCAACAATTAAAAACGGGCGGTCTTTTTCGGAAACTCCATGATGAAAAGTTATGAAAATGAGATCCGATAATATCACAGCAAAATCTGTCAAGTGGAAAATCCAATTTTTTAGTGATCACATAGGATAAACCAACTATTATATACTCGTATGTAATCGGGAGGTTGTGGGTTCGATTCCCACCAGGGTGGAGTGACTTTTTCACATCAGCCCTTAGCACAGGATTATATCCTATGTTTTCAGATTAATTAAAATTGAATATCTTCTGGTATATTATGTCACTGCCTGAAATGCTGACATAAAAGTGTTCCACTTGGGAAGTGTTCAACTTATAGAGGTTCATTTATCATCATTAAAGTCTTGGAACTCTTGGAAGGTGTTCCACTTTATAGGTTTCACTGGATATGAAAAACATGAATATTGAAATACAATTCTACTTCACCAAACTTCATGTAGGCCTGAAAATCATGACTTTTCATCCTGGTTAGGGATGACCAAGTCAAACAATTCCACATTGATTTGCCAGTTTACTCTTCCTACTCAAAGTATACTAAATGTTCATTAAAAAATTATCTTTCTTACGCATAAAAATCTAGGAAAATGTCTAATTTAGATCATTCATGAGGCATTAAGGGCAACATTTAAATACCACGAGCATGAATAAGTATACCAGAGACAAAATCAGGAATAGGAAATTAGGAATTTAATCACAACTAAAAAAAACATACCAAGTAATTGAAAGAAATATGCTCATAATCTTATATTAAGTTTATCGTGCCACATACTTGCTAGATAATAATCTTGCGCTTTGATTCAGAGAATTTAGCAAAATTTCAACAATGTTTACCATTAACAGTGATTCAATCCAGTTATTATCCAATGAAATTGCAATTATGCAGCAGATCTATTTATTATTTGATACATTCATTCCATAAATGCTAAAACATTTCATTACTGTTCTAAACATTCCGGTACTGTCAATTTCTGATAGTTATAGATATGATTTAAAGTAATAAACATATATCTTTCAGTTATCATGCAGAAGATTTTTTCATCAAAACTGGTTTGATATACTCTTGCTACAAGTCCTTTTATCTCCCAACCACCCCCCCCCCCCTATCCTCCATTCCTCTGTAAGTGAAGTATAATATAAGTTGGGGGGGGGGTGAGTTGAGAGACTTGAGGCCAGACATGATCAATGTAACAAGAGCAAAACGGGTGCCATGTAAAAAAACAATATGCCCAAAACTTTATCATATCTTGGCACTATTATTATGCCCTTGCTTCTGTTAAGGTAGAACAGAAGAGTGCACACATCTCCCCACACACAATAGCTGCCATTTGTGATTTACCCAGCATATCCAAAACCTAAACAGATCTTGGCACTATAGTAACTAGTATACTCTAGAGCATCTGTAAAACTTTCAAGTTTAACAGATAAGTGCTAATATGGCACCCACACATCTACCACATCCATACATCTTCGCACACTCGGTCTTCACTGCGTTCAACGACCGGCGGGAGCCGAGTGAACGAAGTGAACATCCATACTTCTCCCCACACCACACACATGCTCGCCTAGCAACAAAAGGCACCAACAAAATAGCACATTTTCAAAGTCAATAAAAATTGCCAACATCAAGATGTTACACCTTCCTCAACCCATACCTCAGTATTCCATCAGTACATTGTTATTTTATGCCTTCTCTCCCCAAAAATTAATCTCTTCGTTTTTTAATTCTGGTATAATTTTGAGTATTGACTCCTAATGCCTGTATTCTTAATTCCTTGCTGATTCCACAATTTCACTTCATTTTGTAATATGACCACCAATGTTATTTTTATTACAGGAAATAAATAATACCCAGTGCTGTAATAAGACAGTTGCCATGGTAATCTGAGTTAAATCCAGGCGAAGACAAGCTACAGAGATACCAAATGAGCTTCTTTATAGCCACAATGGTTTATTATAAACAAGATACAGCGTACAGTAAAACCTGTTTATTTCTGAACGTCTCTCAAAACACAGGGCTCTCACCAGGAAATATTTTGGGTGTGGTGCTAACATCTTCAGAATAACCATTTAATTGTGATAAATCTGCTATTGTTGTGTATTCAGTCAAGTTTAAACTGTGGAAACAGTCATGATTTGCCAATAGGGAGCTAAATAGAGTGTGGTGCTGCACCACATCTGCTGCGTCTAAAGCCTGGCAAGAGCCCTGAAACAGAATACCTTTCAATATGAACACTTTTTCTCTGTCCCAATTTTGTTATCTCCCATTGACTCACATTCAAACTCACTTTTCAAAAACCTTGAAGGTGAATTCCTTCTCATCTGAACACAGTAATCTTGGCATTGTGCTGCAACTACAGTAGTAACTTTGATGGAACGTCAATGTAACAAAATGGATGAACTTCCTGGTTACGAGTTTTTTGTTTTCTAGATTTAAACCTTAACTTAAAAGTCAAGTACCCTATTATAATTTGGCAAAAAGCTAGAAAATATAGTCTCGCTTCAATAAGTTTCCTCGATTTGGAGTTTGTCTTGTAAATGAAGTTGCAATTCATATATTTAGTCCCTCGCTTTTGATACATTGACGAAAGTCTGTTATATTACCCATGTATGTTACTTTGACAACTTACGTCAATGTAACAAAACGATGGTCTAAATGCATGAATTACAGCTTTATTCAAAAATCATAATTCCAAACCGAGAGCATTTCTTAAAGCTAGACTATATTGTCTAACTTTGTGTCAAATGATAATCTGCAACTTGACTTATAAGAAGGTTTAAATCGAGTAAACAAAAAACTTGTGTCCAGGAAGTTTATCCATTTTGTTACATAGACATTCCATCACAGTAACTAGTTGTGGAACAGTGCTTGGATTAGACAGGTTTTACTGTAATTTTTTTTTGTTCTTTACATTCATCAGATAGTATAAGGTCATAATATAAGGGCATGCCTATTTTCTAAAAGGTCATGCTGACCTCACTTTGATTTTAAGGTGATCTGGCAAAAACTTGTAAACTCCTTTTTAAATGTACATGTATTAAAATTGGACATTTCTGTATATTAAATCTACAATAAGTACTAAATCTAATACTCAACATTTTTTAAGCAAAATTTTTGAATATAAGGGAAAAATTGGCATGCTTATTATATGAAGATTGCTTCTAACATTTAAGGTTTTTTGAATTTTTCTGAAAATATGCCCAATATAATGCTCTAACTGATACAATCTTTGAAATTTTAGAAAATTGTCTTAAACAAAAATGGCAGTCATAAAAAGGAAAATAAATCGCTTTTCAAATCAGTTTTTCTTTTTTTTTTTCTTTTTCCATGAACGATATCAAATTTTCAAAGATTGTATCATTTAGAGCAATATATTGGGCACATTTTCTAAAAAATTCAAAAGATTCTATTCAGTGACCTTTCCTACCTCCAACTTTTTGCTATTTTTCAGTCACATTTTTATAGTGCTGAAAAGGTTATGTTCATGGTCATTCTGACCATGAACATTGTGATGCAGGACTTGTAAATGGTATTTGGAACTAGTTGAATTGACTGGAGGTCAAAACAGAATTCTTTTATCTTTGTTCAAAAAATGTCTAAAAATGCAAAAAAAATTGTAACTTCCTGTTTTGTCATTTCCTGTTAACTTCCATAGCACCTTAACACTCTTTGGTCTTTGTTGATCTTTGGTACCCCTTGATTGCTGTAAACTGGATTATTTCTACACCATTAAATACCATGAGGCCCAGGGGCTAGATGCTCTGATTTATCAAGATTCCTCGTTATCTACTCTTCAAGAGATAGTAGAAGATGTAGAACTCTCTCACATTCGTTTGACTTAGCTTCTCAAAAGATAGCTTCATCTTCATTCTTTCAATTTAAGAAATTCCAAGAGCCAACTAAAGCTTGTTTTTGAAAAAAGGACGCTGTATCTAAATATGATCATTTCCTGTTTTCCTCTGAAGTAATTATATAATCATTATTTAAACATGTTTCTCTAGAGTCTACATGTTTGCTGATTGGCTGAAAAATTGTCATCGTGGTTGAATTTGAATTGATTTATGACCCGGTATGTGACAGCCACCAGTATAAGGTTGGGCCACTGAACCATAAAATTACCATCTTACCATTCAGAGGCTACTTTATAACTAACCTCCGTGGTCAGGGTACAACTGTAGAACCCTCAAAATAAGAAGATGACGCCATCTGAGACTTGAAGCGTCTGAATAGAAAAACACCTTTTGTGCAATAGATGAACACCTGAGTAACTTCTTAAACTTTCATTAGTAAGCTGGATTATTTGATTGTAGTGGCACAACATTTATAACTGTAAAGCAAATAATTTACTCCCAGGATAAATACATGGTAACATTCAAAACAGGTTTTGAGGAAGATAAGAGTAAAGGCGGATTCAAACCAAATTCAAAAGTTAATCACATACAGTGTACCGTATACTCTCAGAGGGTTTTTCCTTTCAACGGCTTGCTAATTCCTTATTTTACCCCTTTTGGTCAAAATATCAAAATTTATCACAATTTTGGCACAGTACAAACAGATTCTCAAAAGGATAATTTGTAATTTTCTGATTTTTTCCCCTTCTTTGAAAGCCATTATAAGATAATTCAATCAAGATTGCTGAACCTTTCCATATTGAATAATCATTATTGGTATTGAATAAACATTATTCATATTGAATATACTGATTGATTCCCAAAGGCCAAATCATCCCTTAACTATAATACTTCAAGTGAATATCTCTAACAAATGCAAATAAAAATTTCATTCACTGTAGAAAAGTTACTTCAGAAAATATTACACATATTCTTGATGCATATGTTAACTTCAAATCTGTCAAATTATTTTTT